CACTTAATCTCAATTTTAAAAATTGCCACTGAACTTGGAGAGTATACCAACAAAAGATTTCTTTCAAATGTCTAAAAGTTTTGTCTCTAATTGAAATATTTTGTTTCCATTATTTTCTATGGGCATTCCTTATACTTCCATTATTGTCTATTGGCATTCCACTGCATTGTTAAAGTTTAAGGGCATTCCAATCTGTCATTCCTTTTAGTTGTTCCCTAGCACGTATCATACAGGGACACATATACAATAGAGAATATTCAGAGTAAAATATTGTAGCTCAGATTTCACATTTCCAACAATGTACCCAGATACCAGAAATGATCAGCCCACTTGTTTTTTTTTTATTATTATTTTTTATTATTTATTATTAAAAACGTTCTCTTCGTTCTGTGAATTAAAACTTTTAATACCTTTCACTGAATACAGGTGATACTTGAAAAATTAGAATATCGTGTAAAAGTTAATTTATTTCAGTAATGCAACGTAAAAGGGGAAACTAATATAGGAGATAGATGTATTACATACAAAGCAACATAGTTCAAGCTGTGATTTGTCATAAGTGCGATGATTATGGTTTACAGCTCATGAAAACCCCAAATCCACAATCTCAGTAAATTAGAATATTACATGCAATCAATAAAACAAGGAGTGTACATAGAACAATATTGGACCTCTGAAAAGTATAGGCATGCATATGGACTCAGTACTTGGTTTGGGCCCCTTTTGCAGCAATTACTGCCTCAATGCGGCATGGCATGGAAGCTATCAGCCTGTGGCACTGCTGAGGTGTTATGGAAGACCAGGATGCTTCACTAGCGGCCTTCAGTTCTTCTGCATTGTTCGGTCTCGTGTCTCATCTTTTTCTTGGCAATGCCCCATAGATTCTCTATGGGGTTCAGGTCAGGCGAGTTTGCTGGCCCATCAAGTAGAGTAATCCCACGGTCATTGAACCAGGCTTTGGTGCTTTTGGCAGTGTGGGCAGGTGCCAAGTCCTGCTGGAAAATGAAGTCAGCATCCCCATAAAGCTCGTCTGCGGAAGGAAGCATGAAGTGCTCCAAAATCTCCTGGTAGACGGCTGCGTTGACCCTGGACTTAATGAAGCACAGTGGACCAACACCAGCAGATGACATGGCTCCCAAAATCAACACAGACTGTGGAAACTTCACACTGGACTTCAAGCATCTTGCAGTGTGTGCTTCTCCATTCTTCCTCCAGACTCTGGGTCCTTGGTTTACAAATGAGATGCAAATGTTGCTCTCATCAGAAAAGAGGACCAGGTCAGTTTTTCTTTAGCCCACGTAAGACGCTTCTGACGTTGTTGTTTGTTCAGGAGCGGCTTGACAAGAGGAATAAGACGACATGAAGCCCATGTCCAGGATACGTCTGTTTATGGTGGCTCTTGATGCACTGACTCCAGCCTCAGTCCACTCCTTGTGAAAGTCCCCAACATTTTTGAATGGCCTTTTCCTGACAATTCTCATCCCTGCTGCTTGTGCACCTTTTTCTTCCATATGTTTCCCTTCCACATAACTTTCTATTAATGTGCTTTGATACAGCACTTTGGGAACATCCAACTTCCTTCACAATTACCTTTTCGAGGCTTTCCCTCCTTATGGAGGGTATCAATGATGGTTTTCTGCACAACTGTCAGGTCAGCAGTCTTCCCCATGATTGTGATTCCTACTGAACCAGATTGAGAGACAATTTAAAGGCTTTGAAACCCTTTGCAGGTGTTATGGCTTACTTAGCTGATTAGAGTGGGACACTGTGAGCCTAGAATATTGCACCTTTTACAATATTCTAATTTACTGAGATTGTGGATTTGGGGTTTTCACTTATGCGTCTATCTCAAATATTAGTTTCCTCTTTTACGTTGCATTACTGAAATAAATAAACTTTTGCACGATATTCTAATTTTTCGAGTATCACGTGTATATCCAAGAATGTGGAAAGAGCTTTTTTAATCTATTTCTGATCATTGTGTCTCTTGTTAACCATATATTTTGTATCTGTTTCATTACGTGTTTTCCAAGGAACAAATGACCTTTAATACTTTTTTTTTCACTTTGCTTGAGGAATATAACTAGGCCTTTGACATCATTTAATGAATCCACCTTCGTGTCCTGAAGCGAATTTAGCAGGCTATATTTTATGTGTATATAAATTACCCTTTAAATCTAAAGAGGCAGATAAGTCAATGTCCCTTTAAGTTGCCTGGCTTCCTTTATTGGTAAGAGGTCCGTGTGTCCCTCCCTAGTCTGCAAGGTTTATTTAAAGTGACACTCTAAGCACCATAACCACTACAGTGACCATTTGGGGGTAGCTCCTTTTTTGTGAAATAGTTTTTGATCAGTTTGATAAATATCAGGGTTCTCTCAGCACCCATATCAAAGCACCTGGACTATAATTGAGATTTTGGGGGTGCTTCACTCTTGCATTATATGTCCCAAGCTCCACTAAAGCCATTTAAAATCCATTCTTCATTCTCAAATCTTCCTATTCATTAAAGCTGTAAAAATGTAAGTTCCTTAAATAATGAGCGGCTGCCAGCCTACATTCCATCTCACTCTCATTGGACAGCTATTTTTCTCGACTCTTAAGAATATTTACTGGTTCATTTTCAAATTTTTGATATTTTGCCCAAATTTTGCCATTTGGATTTTAGTTCACTCGTGGTTTGGTGTTCGATCACCAAAAAAATAACATTTCTTTTATCTTTATATTAAGCCTTTATTAGTTTTTTGTTTGTTTGGTTTTTCTGTTTTTGTAGCGTTCATTTTCTCCCACGCAGATGTAAACAGCAGGGGAAATATGTGAAGGAGGGAGAGTGTGAGCTGATATGTAAAGGATACAGAATTGAAACATGGGGAATGTGACTAGCAAATAGGATGTGATAGCATGGCTTAAATGCCCGATGAGTTGACAAGCAATTTGGCAGTAAAAAACGGCCAGTCATGAACATGTGCATAAGGTGACTATTATTATTGGCATTTAATTAGCACCAACATATTCTGCAGAGCATTACAATTATAGAATGGGGATATTTGACAAAAAGTAATTGACATGCAAAATGTACCAGAGACCAGAGGAGGAGAAGGCCCCACTCAAACAAGCTTGCAATCTATAGATGGGCTGCAATTTTGAAGACTAAATTTAGCGTTCCTTGAAGGTGGGCATTCGTCTGAAATGAAGACTGACCCGCCAGTTCTGGAATGATGGGGAGGTATATATACTCCCAACATTGGGTGGTATGATGGAAAAGAATATGTGTAGTGTCAGCCTGGCGTAAATGTTTGCCAACCTGAATATCCATGGTGACCATCTCAACTTGGTGTTGCGCATGCACAAAGCACTGCTGATGTGCATTGCTTTTGGGCTCAATGCCCTTAATAGACTTTGTGCAGCATGAGCTGAAGACGAACCTGGCACAGAGGAAGAGACGCCCAAAGTTAGAACAACCCTTCCGAACCTGCCATGTTTGGAAAGTACGGACATGCTTTAAGATGACAACATTACTTATGTGTTTGTCAGCGATTTAAAATATAGCATTCTTCAGAGATTTAGTCAGTAAACGGTAGACAGCAATCTGTATGTAGAGTTCACTCTGCTCAATGAAGCCCTGAGGGACTTTTTTTTTTATTAAACATTCCCTGAGTTAATCAGTTAATATGGACACTGAAGATACAAGGTTAGCACAACACGTTTTTGACTTGAGACAATCTAAAAACAACAGAAATGTTACATAACACATTTTCGCATTGACTACACGGCTATTTTATTTTTATAGTTATGCTTGTGGGACCCACGGACAACTGCCCAGCATGCCCATGCGTTAAGAGGGCTCAGCTGCAGAATATATCATTGGTTTCCAATCTAGTCCTCAAAGCAAGGCAAAAAAAAAAATCCAGAACTGAGAAATTCCTAAATCGTGGACCAGTGGTGTGCCTTGAAAACTCATTTAGTAGCAACTGGTCAAGGCCAGAGAAATTCATTCTGTATCATTCAGCTGTTGTGGGGCTACAGTTCTCACACTTTGAGCCATGTTTTGACACATGGTGTAGGAGGACATGCCCTTTCCACACTTCAAATTAAAGGTGACCTGAGTAATCTATTAATCATATTATTGAATTTTACGATTTCTCTGTTTGCCTATAAAATGGACACATTAAAACACTTTTAATTTCCTCACCATTCAATCATCTGTCACATTAATCGAGTCTTTACATGAGAAAATAACTTCCTTTAATATCATGACTGGGGGGAGAGAATGATTCTCTGTGAAGTGGTTTTTATTTATTTTTTTATTTTTTTTACAAAAGTGAAAACTTAATACAGTGTTAAAAACCAGCGACCATGTACTGTTTACAAAAAATAATGATTCAAGAAGGAAGCACCCAGAAAAACATACTACTCCTTTAATATGGAGTCTTAGTTTCCCTGAGATATTCCCTCATACACGCAACCATGTAGACAGGGGGGTAAAATAGCACAGTTATATGTAAACAGAAAAAACAACAATATAGTGTTTCACGCATTTAAAACCTCCAGCCAAATTGTGGAGAAATACCCTCACAGAATATTCTTCAAAGGAACCCCTTAAAAGTAGTAATGCTGTACTAAAACTTTTTCTAAATCCTTCGCTCAACAACAGTGGCAAAAGAGACCGTTTGGACTAAAATATTGTCGTACAGTTTATTAACTCACCAATACACTTTATTCACGGACTATACGCCTTTTATTTATTTTTTTCTCTTTACATATATCTGTTCCATTTTACAACTCCTTAAAGGTACGTTGTACTCGCTATAACACGCTCATCCAAATTAAGTTGGTACAGTGTTGTTCTAACTTCCTTAGTGGCCCCAAATTACAGTATATAACTAATTAGAGGGCTTGGAAGCACATCTTTAAGCCACACCTCTAAGTCCTCTGGGTAGGAGAGTCGGGCCTGTTACTTCCTGACTCTCATACCCTCGCATACCATGATGTCACACGCGCATGCACATTTCTGGCCCTGTCTGCCATAAAGAATTATTGCATATGGCAGAATCATAGGCTAGCGCACCTCATGCATTTACAGCCCTTTATGAGGAGCGTTGGATTAGACCACCCTCCAGGATGACATCAGGTGAGGCAAGCTGCATAAATGCAGATGAATGTAAGTAATTTATTTGTTATTGTTGTGTTTTTTTAGGTGCAGGTGGGGGAGAGGGGCTAAAATTAATTATGGACTTTAAGACTGTAGCTTTAGAGATGCAGATATGTAACGGCTGAGGGTTTGACAGCGGCAGCTCTGCCTTTTTATCAACCATAGCAAAAATACACAAGACAGAGTAGTTCCAACTAGACGTGCACCAGTGAAATTTTCGTTTCGTACAAATGATTTTGTACTAAATAAAAATGTAATTCGTCAATCCCGAATTTCGTCACAAACCATTAGTTTGCGAACAAAATTCTTTAAAAATGTATTTGTTTTCATCCATTAAGACGAAAATAGCACATGCCCCCCACCAAAAAAAAAATCAAGGAGGGAGCCGGCAGCGCTACCAGCTCCCTCCTTGTAATAAATAATTATTCCTACCCTTCTCCCCAACATTAAAACCTATGGGGGTCACTATAGCCCCCATATTAATAAGAGGGAGGTTAAATCATCCCGCATGCCCCTACTAAATATAACTCAATATGGGGGTCACTATGACCCTCATGTTGATAAAAGGGAGGTTAAATCCCCCTGCATGCCTCGAGTAGGGGCATGTTGCCTAAACTAACTTAGATCCCACCGTGTAGTAGGGGCTTCTCGCTGATATTTAAAAACAGAAAATAAAAATCAGTATTTTATATAGAAGCTATGGTAAGCGTACATGTAACCTAAAGTTATAGCAAAAACTATAACAATGTTGCAATATGAAAAAGTAGCTATTTAGATCTAAATAGCTTCTTTTTACACATACTCTTTACACTTCTATACAAAATACATTTATATCAAGTTTTAAATGATAGCGAGCAGCCAGCGGCTGCTCACTCTCATTTCAAACTAAATATAAATCAGTATGGGGGTCACTATGACCACCATATTGATAAAAGGGAGGTTAAATCCTCCCGGATTACCCTACTCACATGCCGTGAGTGCGGTATGTCGCCTAAACAGTGAGCAGCCAGTGGCTGCTCTGTCATTTAAAACTACTAGTGACTGGGCAGCTATTGCTGCTCAGTCGCTTGTGCAATAAGGGGGGACTTGGCACAGGTTCCCCCATTATGGGGAACACAAATAAGTAAAATAGGGGGGACATAGTGCACCCCTACCCGTGACCCGCGGGTGGGGGCTATTAATATAAACGGGGGCCTAATGTCCCCCCAGGTTCCCACCCATGAGTGGCGGGTGGGGACCCTAATTAAAGCAGGAACTTAATGTTCCCGCTGGTATCCACCTATGAGCGGCAGGTGGGGACCCTAATTAAAGGGGGGACCTAATGTGCGGTGGGTGGGGACCCTCAATAAATAAAAAACAAATAAAATTTGGGGGCACAGAATGAGCTCCGCAGGGTGGGGAAAGGCTTATAAAGCCTTCCTCCGCCCTTTAATTAGGCTGAGAGTGCTCTGATTGGTTGATTTAAGCCAACCAATCAGAGTGCTCTGACAGGTAAATGAAGAGACTGACAGGTAAGTCTCTACATTTACCTGTCACAGCACTCTGATTGGTTGGCTTGGAATCCAACCAATTAGAGTGCTCTGAGTCATTTTACACAGCGTGGGAAAGTTCTTTGGAATTTTCCCATGCTGTGTATTTGACCCTTAACACTGATTGGTTGTTTAAAAAAAAGAAACCAAATTGTCATTGTATTTTATTCTGTGGATTTGGTTGGTAGTATTTTTTTGTAGAATACTCTAATATTTCCATATAGTACGGCTATACTGCATAACAAAAGAACATTATGAGAGTCCTCATTATTTTATTCAACCATCATGGGAAAATTCAATGTTGTTAGCAAATCCAATAATCTGGTTAATCCAATAATCCTCTCTATGATCAGGTAATCTCTGTATCTAGTTATAGCCAGCGTTATTACTTGTATGCTTCTTACAATAGACGGGTGTGTACTAACAAATTGAAAAATAATTACAATAAAGATGTTAATGAATAATTACGTGTTTGCATTTAACAAAGTAATAAATTTATCATTTGAATTGTGAGTTGATAAATTAACTTCATTATTAAAGAAAAAGTCACCATACTTACCGTAATTTTCTTTTTCTGGATATATCTGTGGCAGCATTACGATAGGGTTAGCTCCGCTCACTTGACTGTTAAGGACAGGAAATAAAAGTATAAATACTCCTCCTACCAGACTGAATCTCCAGTCTAGTTACAAGCTCCTAAAAAAGAAATTTATACAGAAGGGAGGGATGCAATGCTGCCGTGGATATATCCAGGAAAATAAAATTACAGTAAGTATGGTGAAATTTTCTTTATTCCTGGCTAATCCATGACAGCATTACGATAGGTTAATACCCAAGCTCAACATCTGATGGGAGGGAAATAAACAAGCACCCACCAATAATTGTAAAGCAGTTAAGAACAAGCAAACTCTGGACTGCAGAGTTTATGGGAAACTCAGGGGCCCAAAGCTAAAACATATCAGCCGTTATGATTTACTACAGATTACAAATAGTGAAACAGGATTCCACCACTGAAGGTTTTCTGTAAAGCCTAGCCAGCAGCATAGGACAAGAAACTTCAAGCCCATCAGAGAGTCATTTACATTATTTGTGATTAAAAATATGAATGGAATTTGGGAAATCAATGTACAAAACAAAACCAACCTTATTTCGGACAAGAAACATACGCATAACATGACAATTCTGGAACAGTATCCATCATGAATGAATCCAAGATGAAAAAAATGTAATACTGCTCATAGATACCGAGTTATAGAATGTGTCACACTGTAGATATACCGAGTTATAGAGTATGCCACACTGTAGATATACAGATTTATAGAATGTGTCACACAAACAGAATTATTGTAGATAAATAGAGATACACTAGCCTGTGTAATACAGAAGATTTAGACACCAGATATTCTAATCACTGTGTGAACAAGACATGATAGACAGGAAAGAAAAATTAGGAAGACGTAACAGTATACAACCTCCAAGGAGAGAAGAGAAGAAAAAAAAAAAAACACAACACACACACCCCCCCCCCTCACCCCATACCCCCATAATAGAATACTATAAATGGAGAGATCTCCTATATTTTGAAAATATTCTCTCAATGTAAAGGGCTAAAATGCACCAAGTGCATAGAAATGAATCATGAATATCAATACACACATATAGACAGAGCAAAGAGTGACATTAACTACATATGTGCAGAACATTTTAACAAAACAATGCCATCCCTTAACACTGAGATAGGGTACACTACCTGAGTTTACCATTACATATCACAATTTACTAGCATAATACAGAAAGGTACTATATACCCAATATCTCAAGCTGTGCAGCTGTAGCCAGAATAAAGAAATACTAATATTCCACCTTAATGGGATTGAATCAGTTAATGACTACATACATACATACAGCACGCACACACACACACACACACACACACACACGACAATTTATCTCTCTGATGGAGACTTCAAGAAAATATTGGTACAATAAAAAAAATAAAATACAAGTGAGTTTTTTTTAAAGTCATGATAACAGGAGAGCAAACCACCATATTAACCTCAAGACTCCTGTTTTCAGTGTCAGGACAATTCACAAGGCCCAGTAACACCTGCAATGCATCTGAAGTAATTAATTAGAACTGCAAGACTTTATTCTGTTACCGAGTGTGTCCTGCAAACCGCAATCCACATGCAAAAGGCTTTCTGGTATGACAAACATAAGGCCTTATACTGCAAGTAAAGCCTCACACCGAATCTAGTTACTTACCCTCACTTCAATAAAAACTGGGCTGTCAATATACACCAGTTTATGCACAGAGGTTATAGTGGATAGACATACAGATGGTCTAATGGGAATCCCAAACAAAGGTTATATTCCACCCTTCACTTTAATAAGAACTGGGCTGACAATATTAAAGACTGGACTGTCCATATACACCAGTTCATGTACTTATGAGAATCCCAAATAAGGTTACCTTCTATTCTAGGAAAGATCTGACAAAATTATAAAAAATAAATCACAGAATTTCATTTCCCAAGTTTTACCCTCGACTTATCCACGAGGCATAGCATATTTCACAATTGTTGGTCGCAAAACTACACTCGACTTAGACATGAGTATATACGGTAGGTAATCTTAAGAGAACAAAATTTCTACTTAATTCTAAAAAAGCCTTTCACACTCCTTTAAACCTGCTTGCCTACATGCCGAGAGTCACAACAACCAGTAATATAATGCCTTATAAGATCATTCTCTTAATGGGCCTGAATAAGTTGTGACCACCACAAGTGAGAATAAATCAATCCACATCATGAATAAAAACCAAGGCAGCAGTGGACTTCGCATTGGATAGGAGTGCCAAAAATAAAGAATATTTTCCATTCTCTGAAGTAAGGCAGGCTGGAAATCACTGCAACATGTCTTGTTGTAAACCAGGTCCAGTGTAGACAAAAAGGCCAGAGTTGATATTCTCTGACCTAAGGACTGCCGGAAGTTACCCCCACAATCTTGTAATAACAAGAGCCATTGAAGACATTCTCTGAGTAAGTCCTACTGGACACCATACCTACACATCTTGAAAAAACATGGACCAGGGTGGATTTTCTCTGTGCTGGAAAACACAGTCACCTTTCTTGTTACAGACAAGGCCAGGAGTGGACTCTCTTGGAATTAAGGCCTGATTGGAATCACTTGTCACACATCTTCTTAAAACAACGCCCAGTGTGGATAGTCTCGGTAATTAAGCCTGATGGAATTCACTGCCACATATCCTGTTAAAAACGAGTACCATATTTTAAGGAGGTTCTCCTTCCAAACACCAGAAATACATCCTGCATCCAGTGACTTATATATTTACCAATATTTGCACGTACCAATATTATACCGCTACCCCAAGGATCACAGCAGCTGATATCCAATACCATACATATGTACACTGCAGTTTTACCGCTACCCAGGGATTTATATCATTATGAAGTATGTGTAAACACCATGCACCGCTACCAATAGGATCACTGCGGCAATAGTCT